GGGCAAAGCTGGTCACCAAGAGGCAGAGGTCAACACTGAGGAGGTGCTGACTAATGCTGCAGACGTCCCCTGGTCTGGGCCAGTGCGCAAGAAACGGGCTCAGGGTTCAGACACCTCCTGAGCGGATCTCAGAATCGGCAAGGGGGAGAGGAAGATGTGAGAGGGGACTGAAAAGAGCCTCTGATTTTCCTGGCCCATAATCCAAATCTCGGGGTGGCAAGGGGTCCTTGAGGCCATCAACTCCAACCTTCTGCAGCAATCCAATCAGAGCATCTACAGGAGGCCTCTCTACTCCTTCCTTGGAAATGTCCAATGTAGGGGAGCCTACCAGCTCCCTGGCCCCGTGGCCCCAAGCTCCTTCTAGGGAACAGAAGCTACTCTATATTCTAGGCCTGGGAAGGGCAAAAACACTCATTAAATCACATCACAACCATAGTATACTTTTGTCTTTGTGTGCTGTGCAAACCGTGGTGAGCACATCATGTGAAGCTGCCAGTTAAGGCTAATTCAGTAAACCATGGTTACAGAAACCAAGGCTTAGTGTGGCACGTACACCCAGCTGCACAGGGAACTTTACAGGTTGATCCTAGGGTTTCCTCACCTGCTCTGAAGAGCCATCTGCCGATCGTTTGGGTATCCCCACTGACCAGTGCTGCTGCCAACAGCCGTGTCTGTCATGGCCAAAGTCAGGAGTGCCTGGAAAACAGAAGAAGACTTGCCAGTCAGCAGTGGGAGGAGGCACCAATAAAAAACTGGCAACTGAAGGAAAGGCGTATACCGGAGGGAGCTCTCTGGGTCTCTCCACCATCCAGGACAGCAACAGCTATGGCATCTTTCCAATGCTCACCCCAACACCACAATGAACCATGTGGAAATATCCCTGGTGCACTTAAGACCAGGCTGGAAAACATCCCTAGCTGGAATGCAGGGGGCAGTCACCCCAGGCCTACCGAAACTAGTTCTGCGTGCAGGTGTTTGGAAGACACCAAGCCGTTGCAAGGAGAAAGAGGCTCCCGGTAGAGTGCTCTTGCAAGTGGATTCCTGCCGCACGCCGCCTTGCTCACAGTTGGAAACCAGGCAGCAGCACGGCATGTGAGCAAGTGAACTGCGAGGGCTGGAGCAGGCATCAGCGTCAATAGACCGGAGAGCCAGCTCGCCCCCTTCTGCTCCTTCAATCATTCCCCCATTGTGATGCCTCAGCAGAACTCGGACAACCTTTTTGCAGTATCCCAACTGTTAATTTTCTAAATGGCTTGAAATGTGCCTCCCCTCCAAGTCATTTTTCTTTGGCCCACGCTTCACTGAAGCCGCCAGCCTTAAAATGCTGTTCACTTCTCCATTATCTCCCCGGCCTGAATTACGGATGGTAGCCCTTGGGGATACGCAGGGATTTGTGCCTTTGTGGGATTTTTGCAGCTGGGTGGTGCCAAAAAGCACCCTGCACACTGCTGATGTCCACATCAAACGCCACTGACCCATCTATGGCCGTGAAATCGGACGGACCGCCTCTGCTAACTGGGGCTCTCCAGAGACTACAGTTCTCACCACCTCCAGCCAGGCCTTCCCTGCTCACTCATCACCCTTCCAGAGTCTAACTCTGCTCCTACAGGGGAGGAAGAAATAACCAGCAATAGGACTTCGACTAAATTTTAAAATTTTAGCCACCCTCCGAAGAAAGCTACAGTGAACCGCTCCAGCAAGGCAACTACCTGGACCTGCCCATGAAGTCAAGCAGAACGTTCCCTTTGCCTTAATTGTGTTTCCAAAGGGCTGGCGAACATCCCTGCGGAGAATCAGACAGGCAACCAGACTGAGAGAGCAGTCTTTGCTGCTTAGCCTAACTCCGTTAATAGACTCTCGGCTGACTGAAGAGCATCTGGAAACGCTGCCAAGTTTCCTCTAAGTAACTCATTCCAGGCCTGCGGGAAAGAAGCAGAGCTGGGAGGAGATCCCGTTTGCCTCTGGTTGGCCCACCCAACTCCTTGAAGGGAAGGGAAGATGCTCCTTGTGTTTTCTGTAGAAGAAAAGCTGCCTTGGAAGTGGTCCAGCGGGAGGGGGGCGCTCCCCACTGGAGCAGGTTCCCGGGGACTGCCTTCCACAAAGTGGGTGGGGCCAGGCCAAAAAGAAAAAAAAAAATTAGACACAATTTCATTGAAATGTCATTGAAATTACACTGATGGGATTATATACGGTTGATTCGATTTGTGGCCGTACTCAAAGTTATAACCCAATGGCAGCATTTGAAGGGGCTTCTGAAAGCTGCACCCAAGGAGTTCAGGGACTGAGAGGTACATTTCTGCAACACAGGGAGGGAAGCCACATCCAGGAACAATTTGGGAGGAAGAGCCTGGACGAGAGGAAAAGCCCCTTGCCTCTAAGTGTTGTACCGCTTTCCCCTGGCATCCGTCGAAGCTGAACAAGAGGCGGAAACTGCGTGTTGAAGACGGGCGAAAGGGCCGTGTGCTCAGAACACGGATGCAGTTCCAGGCAGATGCTCCAGAGCCGACAGGAAAGCAGGGGCCAGCGCCTTCAGCTTCTCTGGCTCTGCAATGCAGCTCTCTGAGATATCGAACAGGGCGGGAGATAAGGTGGGCAATGCCAAGAATGAGGCACCATTTGGCTTTTGGTTCCTTCCTCCTTTAACCAGTTCTTTTAACAAAGAAAAAAAAACCCACTGACAAACTTAAAAGTACCATTCATCTCACTCAAGAAAGGACCAGAATGGAGAGAGGAACAGAAAAGAAAATATGAAGAAAGAGATGGGGAAAACAAATCTGTAGAGGACACTGCCTGGCATTTCCTGAGCAGTCTTTCAGAATTAACGGCGGGCTCGTCCTTTCCTTGTTAAAAGACAGAAACAGAGATGGGCAGATATAGAGATCAGCCATGTACACATTTATTTTCGTAATGCAAGAGGTGGGGAGGCAAGAGGCGCCCCCGCACAGCTCGCACCTTCTTCTCTGACTGCATTAAACCATCAAAGTCCTTTTCTTCTACCAGTAACTAGGCCATTTTAAATACGCAGCCATCGATTCTTCCCGAGCTGGAAGTAACCTGCGAATTCTTCTACTTCCATGGCTCTCTCCAGGGCAATTTGCAGAGGAGGACGTATTCTGAGCCACCAGCCTCCCCACACTTGCTAACTCTTAAACACTTTTATTCTCTTGGAGGCCAGAGGAACCAGCAACTGTCTTCAAGACACCCCGCAGCCCTCCACCAGCAATTTCATAAGCTGTTGTCTCACAGGTCCTTCTCCAAACTGTACTTTTGAAGGCTCCCCTCTTTGAATGATGCTGCTGCTTTGCTGTCTGGGTCTTACATCCCAATTAAAGCCAGCCTGACAAAGCCCCCCTCCCCGCCCTTGCAGGATGCACTTGCTGACAAGGAACACTGGAAGAGAAGCATTGAGTTAATTGCACTGTAAATAACATCCAATTCGCCAGAGAACTGACTTGGGATACAATTGGCATATCAATTAATTTCTTTCCCAACTCATCACTTAGCTCCCCCGGTTCATCCGAAAGTCCTCAACGGTTCCTTCTCCCCCCTAAATAAAAATGACAGAGGGGTACAGCTTAGCCGCAGTCCCTCAGTGATAAAGGAAGGAAGTCTTGCACGCCCTCCGTTCTTCTGCCCTCACCAAGGAGCCCCTGAGCGAGTCAACGGCTCTTCATTCCTCGCATGAGCAGCCGGGTAATGAATGCAACTGAAGGAAAAAAACACAGGACGTCCAGGCAATTCGGACAGCTGTCAAGGTACAGATCAGCCTCGGCGTCTTTTTTCTGTGTCTCCACGTTCTCCCAGAAACACAGGAATGGGCTCGGAGAAGTGGGCTAGCAAGGAAATTGTGGCAACGCTGTGCAAGAGCAGAGCAGAACAAGGGCGCTGCCCCAAGGGCTGAACGAGGGGGAGCTGTCCAAGGTACCCAGGCACAGACCAAGGACGGAGCCTCTCTCTCTGCAGTCAAGGACGGCTCCTCTCAGCCTCCTCTGTGGCCCAGTCCCTTGGAGTGCCAGCTGTCCCCACCCTCTTCTGGACAGCCCCCTCCACTCCAACCCCCTCCCAGTTTGCATTATGGCTGACCGCCCCCCATTGCCTGTCCACTCTGCCTCCAGAAACCACACTCAGGGCTGGCTGGTGCCATAGCAGCCGAACGCAAAAAGCTAATCAGCTGCATAATTACCCATTCCTGAAGGAGCTCTGCAAACTGAACTGCTCTGCCTACAGAAAGGGGAAGAAATTAAATCGAGCGGCCCAGTTTCTCCGCAGAAGAGAGCCTCCCTCGGCCTGCCTCCACCCAGGAGCTCATTCACATCCATTGTTTTGCGTTCAAGAACAAGGAATTAAACCTGTCCCCATTCTGGTTTGCTGGAAGGGGAGCTGAGCACCAGCTGGATGCAACCTCAGCAAGCTTAGCCCTGCCAAAGCCAAAAAAATTCACCCTGCTCTAAGCAACAGTTGCACGTGATGCTGCTCCTCAGCATCTGCCCGAAATCCACCTCTCTTCCTTCCCTTCCCTTCCCTTCCCTTCCCTTCCCTTCCCTTCCCTTCCCTTCCCTTCCCACACAAAGCATGACGAATTAAATCCCGCTTTCTCCAATTCCTGTTCTCCTTCTTCAAGCGCTCCATCCCAGCCTAATCGGCACCCAGTCATCATTCCACCTTTCTCCTTCTCCCTTCAGGGACTTTCCAACCCTGCGTTTCCATGCTGGGAGGCACCCTCTTCCCCGCCATCATGCAATTGTCAGCCACTCCACCTGCGCATAATCTTCCTCCCTCTGTTTTCCCTTCCTTGGTGTCCTTTATTCTCACCCAGAGCAAATCTCTTGGGGGGCAGGGAGTGTGTGTGGAGGGGTGGTGGGAGAACCAGGTCAACAACTTGCAGATCAGGCCTGGTGGCCCTTCAGCCCCCAAGGCCAGGAATGCTTCCTAGAAGCATTGAAAGGACCACACCCCCATTAGTTTCTTTGCAGGGTTCTCCATTTCACCTCCTGCAGTATGAAAGCGTCTCCCTTCCCCATTGCAGGAGGCCGGGAAGACAGAAATCCCTGGTCATTTTTACCCTACAATGCTATTGCTTGTCTTTCTGCTGCATTTCTCGGGGCCCAAACCATCCCCTTTTGTTTCCTTTCTTCCTCTCAAGATTCAGGGCCAGCTGATGCTCCTCTCGGCAAGGCGGGAATCCAAAAGGCAGCGAGACACTGCAGCGCCCTGCAAATCCAACTTGAGCGACGCAGGGAGGGCATTAGCCGAGTCATCCCTTCCCCTGGAGCAGCCATGACTCCACCGCAAGTCGCGGACATTAATTACAGGGGAAACGACAGCTCCGAAAGTACCTGTGCGGACAAACAGACAGGTCAGGAGGAGGCAAGGAGAACGTGATCCTGGCGGCTCCACAGTGGCAAAATCCTGCTGCAACGACTGGTTCCCACGATTTCACTCACACCCGCCTACTGTTACGGAACAGGGTTGGAAGCACTGCAGCAATTTGGGATGGAGGAAAGGGGAGGATGGGAGAGAAGGGCCATTCCGACAGAAGCCCCGGCTGGGCGCTGGCTCTGCACTGCTACGATCACCCCCACCCCCTTGCAAGAGTTACAGCCCCACCAGGAAAGGGGGCAAGCCCTGAGCTTTCCAGACCTTGCCTAGCCAGAACTGGAGCTGAACATCCCAGGGATTCTCAAGGAAGGAAAGGA